CCCAAGGCAAATGCCTTGTTTGCCTCGCGGCTAACACATCCCTGGGTGGTTGCTGGGACTGTTATGGTGCTTTCCCTTCTCATAATGTACATGAAAGTCAGACTGGACTGAGGCATAGTAATAGTGTAGCATAGTGTAGATCTGACGAATCTGAAAGATTTAAACTTTTGGCCGACAGTACACTGGGGAATTTATTTACTGTATATCCATCTGTAACATTAGATCTATACTTTTATACAGATAAACTGTGCAGGTACTAGTATTATGGTGTTTTAGCATCAGACAAAGAAAGAGCTATAGTTAGAGCATAGTCATCAAAGGGACACTACAGTCACCAAAACAAACTTTAGTTTAATGAAGCATTTTTGGTGTATAGATTATGCTCCTGCAGTCTCATTGCTAAATTCAATGCCATTTACTTATGTAGCCCTAGTCAAACCTCCCTGCATGTGACTTACACAGCCTTCCTAAACACTTCCTGCAAAGAGTCATCTAATGTTTACACTTCCCTTATTTCAAATTATATTTAATTTTATAACATGACAGGAGGCTTCTTATTTGCTTAAGTCTCTGTTTACTAGAACTCCACAGCAGCACAGAATACCACTGCCTCCTGCTAATATTAGTGGGTGGCTTTGGGATTTTATTGCTTATATTCAGTATCTTAACCTTATAATGCAGTATTGTTATAATCCATGTGGGATTTTATTCTTATTATGCAGTATTGTTATAATCCTTGTGGGATTTTATTCTTATAAAACAATATTATGTTCCTTGTGGGATTGTTTTTTCTTCCATATTCAGCATTTTATTTTCCCTTGTGGGATTTTTATGCTTATATATTGAATATCTTTTCAGAATATTTTATTTAGGCCTTGTGGGATTCATTTTATATGCAGTATTACCTTGGTCCATGTGTAAATTTTCCTTACACATGCAGTTTTGTTAAAACCCCTGTGGGACTTTATTTTTACTTGTACCTTCAGGCTATCACTGTTATATACATATTTAGTTTGAATTTCTGGGGGGTCTTTGGGGTCCTCCTGTCTCCTCTATCCCCTTGTCCTTGTCCCCCCCGTCCGTCACCCAACTTTGTGTATGCTCGTTTTTGTTCCGCATTTGTCCTTATGTCTGGCGGTGTCTGTGTGCGCCGCTCGGGGGTTTCAGGAGGCTGACTGCATATGCCTCCTTCGATCCCCGACCTCGGGACCGCAGAGTTCATCTCCGGCGGTCCCGTGTGTTTTTTTCCGGTTGCAGGGGAGCTCGAGACGAGCACCCGGTGGCCGGATCTCCTTTCCCACGTGGTCGCTTCGCCGCGGCCGCCTCCGCCCACGAACCGCGTGTGTCCGACCGGGCGGGGGAGCCCCTCTCCTCATCTATTCCACGGACCGCTCGCAGCCCCTCTCTCAGTCTGTTCCTAACTGGTTGGAGGTCTGTTTGAGGGGCTTTCCTCCCCTCTGTCAATCAAGGCCGGATTCCGATCATGGACGGAGTTTTTTATATCAAATGAGGGCCCTTCACCCTGCTCAGGGTTAATCTATAACCCAAGATGACTCCACATTTATATAATTGTATATAAATATTTTGCTAGGATGGAGAATAGGCTTTAGGCAGTACGCCGTGTACTGCTCTGAGGTGCCTGCAGTTTGGTTTTCTGCCTTTGGCCAAACATTAAAGTCTGCCAGTTCCCTGTTTAGTGGTATAGCACTTCATCACTAGTAGCTGTAACATCTGTGATATTAGACTGGAGACATTATAGCAATTTATCCAGAGGTATTATGTAAAAATACTGTTATAATCACATTACTACCCTGGAGATATTATAGCAATTTATCCAGAGGTATTATGTAAAAATACTGTTATAATCACATTACTATATTCTGAAAAGATATTCAATATATAAGCATAAAAATCCCACAAGGTAAAGTAAAATACTGAATATGGAAGAAAAAAAAATCCCACAAGGATTATAACAATACTGCATTATAAAAATAAAATCCCACAAGGATTATAACAATACTGCATTATAAGAATAAAATCCCACATGGATTATAACAATACTGCATTATAAGGTTAAGATACTGAATATAAGCAATAAAATCCCAAAGCCACCAACTAATATTAGCAGGAGGCAGTGGTACTCTGACCTGTACTGACTGCAGAGCAGCAAAGAAAGAGGAAATGATGACTCAGATAGGGCTGCCGACATTCTCAAACGGGACAACACATGTTTCGGACGGCTGAAGCTAGACCCTTCCTTTTTCGCTATATCTGCTCTCTGGAGTCACCTGTCTTGCCTGCTTATTGGAGAATGTTATGTGTTCGCGGGACTCCAAGCTAAGAAGGGAGGTATCCCTCTATAGGGAGACTTTGACTTCAATTATCAAATTCACATTCCTGGGTCCCTTGACCTAGGACCTACTCTGGGAGATACGTGCCTGGACAGTCAGGGGTATGGACATCCTTTTTGGAGTCCTTTCTCTACCGCAGCCGAGGATTACACAGTCCAGTTGGAACAGGGGAGGTGTGGCTTGGGCTGCACAAATATAAACAAAAGTGATTTAACTCCTAAATGGCAGTGAACTGAATGGTGAAGAGAGACATCTATACACAAAAACTGCTCATTAAGCTAAAGTTGTTTTGGTGACTATAGTGTCCCATCGACATGCTTTGGGTATTACACAGTACAGAGAGCCTTCAGAGAGTGTTAGATGATATAAGAGGCTTGGTCTGGGAAATCTGTCCTCAGACCGAGTATAAGCGACCATCATCCACCTTAGGAAAATACTGAGACCTAGTCTTGACCACGGGAATAAAAGAGGACCAATAGAGTACATGCAACATCGCTGCCTCCGAACTGAAGCTAGTACACATATTAAAGAAACCAGTGCAGCAGTGGCCTCAGTGTTCTAGAGAAGCAGGCATGCATCAGGTCCTGGGACTCACACATTAAGCAGAATAAGGGAAATGAGAAAACCCCACAAGTAGTTTGGCGCAATGTTACAGTATGTGGCTGTCCTGTATTGCCGATACAAATAAACCACAAACAGCAACAGAAAAAAAAAGGAAACAAGGTAATGAGAAATAAGGCACTAGAAAAAAAAGCTTAGTAAACTCACAGGGTCGCCAAATGCATCAGACTAAATGAATTAATGGGTTTTATCCAGCTTCAAATTTTGATTTCAAATGTCATGATCAGAGGCTCGATAGAACAGGCTGCATGTTACATGCACATATGTTTAATCACCCTGCAAATTTGAATCCATACAGATATAGAAACACAGAGGGAAAATGCAACATGCACTAAAAACAATGGATATTAAAACTCAAACTTAAACAGAATTGAGGAGACTTCCATAGTCATAATAAAACCATATTATCATAAACATCCTTTCTTCACAAAGTTGTTCACTGAAGTGAGAATTCAAAGTTAATTTCAAATTGCAGGTCAAACTAGGTGAAATGAAACATGTCTGTGAGCCAGTTATGCTTTAAGTTTGGCTCATTTGAACTAAAATTAGAAATTTGCTATGAATTCCCATTTTAGTGAATAACCCTGATAGTATAGACTGTATAAGGCAGGTTTAGTGACCTCCTATCACCATTTTGCTTTCATTGGCAAGACAGGATAATTTCAGGATGCCAGCATTTGAAATGATCTTCTGATCTTATTGGTGCGTGTGGCGAAACCAACCTCACCACTGTGAACTGGAGAAGCCTGGTTGCTCGCCTGCTCCCTTTGGACTATGGCCCTGCAGGTTAAACCGTTTATTTCCCCTGCAGAAAGGCTTATTTGTGTGATCTGAGTGCCATTCATCTAATAATGTGCGCTCAGATCCCAGCTATCTGGGGATATGTGAAATGTCTGTGTCTTATGTGTAAAAAGTGACTTTATGTATTTTAAAGTGTTTTGTGTCTTTTTGCAACCATGTGCTTAATGGAGTCTTGTGTCTGTCCTGGGAGATAATTGAATTACTCTCCAGGATAGAAGACTCTGAAACTGGTTTGGGCCAGAAAGCCATGCTTCATTTAGTCACAAAGGACTTTCCCTTAACTTTTGAACCCCTGGTCTGATTCGTGCCATTTTTTAATATGTTGTTCCCCTGAATGGATTGATTATGAAAATGTATGTTTTATGTTTGTGACATGTATATTTTAGAAGTTATAAATATTGTGTAAAAACTGTATTCCTCTGCCGGTGATAATGAGATTACCCATTGTGTTCAGTAATCATATCACCTGCAGAGGGGAGGATTTTGTGTGGGAGTGTCTGGGTGTATTGTACGGATTGATTGGTTGTTTTGTAACGCCCTGTGGGCTGTACTATGTTTGTGGATTGGGAATAAAAGAGACTGTATGTGACAGTACAGGGAGTTCCTGTTTTAACCCTCAAAGTGAAGTGTCGTCTCATTATTGGGGGAAGGATTTATTGTATGCTGTTCCAGTTTGACTGCTAGGAGAGTAAACCTATTCGTATGGTTCCTATTCAACTGTCTACAGCATTCATATGCTTGGGAGAATTTATTTGTTTCTCCGGTTCGGTGATTGTGGTGTCTGCCAGAGTGCTTGGAGTCCTCAGGAAGCGCTAGGAGCATCCTTCAACGGAGGTACCCAGTCGGGGTGCCAGGCGATCCGTTACAGTGCGTATATATTAATATCAAAATGCACTTATAATAAAGTTATATATATATTTGTGGTCAGGGACAATAAGCCAAATTATAGTAGTGATGGTGTAGGTCAGGTGTGGTGTGCCGGAACCAGCATTCAGGTAGGCCAGTAAAAAAAAGGGCCCACCAAATTGAATGGCTTGATAAAGGGAGTGGTGGGTGGGCTGAACCAGGCAGTATTGGCACAGAGGAAGGGGTGGCCTCTGTATTTATAGGCCAAGTAACCCTTCCCACAGGCTCCAGAGAATTATCCAGATAATTTAATTTCCAAGCCCTATACTTGACCCTGTAACTTTTCAAAATTCTATATAACCTGTACATGGAGGGTGCTACTGTATTTTTGCGACATTGCCATGATGGGGGCAATTTTTAAGTAATCTGGTAAACTTCAATGTGCAAAAATTGAAATGGGCCAGCTGTTTGACAGTGTAAGTATCAAAACCACCAAGAAACCTGTACATGGGGGACATTGTTGTACTCGTGGGAAATCACAACATGCAAATATGTGTGTTTTATTGCAGTAAAAGCTAACAGTATTATGACATTCAGGGTTAAAATGCCATCCAGAACATCTTGCAGAAGATCTTGCAATTTCTTACACTTTTATTTTTAGATTTTATTAATATTAATTTGTGTTTCATATATAAATAGTTTAGGTAAAATTAAAGCCCTATTTCTCATGAACAAAATGACATATAATAAGTATGGGCACACTTAATATGAAAGAGGTAAATTATGATTGAATAGACAAATTCCAAGCTTTGGTTTGGTCAGAACTTAATTGCCTCTGTCATTAAGGGGTTAAATGCGCACTTCAAACACCTGAAGCGTTTTAGCTTGCTGAAGTGATTTATGTGTAAGACTTTGCAGATTTCAGTAGTAAATGGCACTTTTATAATGGTGCTTTCAATCAGACAACATTCCTGTTACTTCCTGATAGTTTAGTTCAGTAGAGCTCCATTAGGAAGTCTGTGATTGGACAGCAACAGAAAGTCTGGGCTGTGGAAGACGGGAAAGGCCTGCAAAGACTGCAGCCAAGACTACCCCCAATGAAAAAAATGCATGTTTGTTTTTCATTGGGTGTATATATACTAAACACTGTTATGTTTTTTTTATTCATTTTTTTATTTTGTGCAGTTAAGTGTCACTTTAAGTACAAAACAAGCAAACAGAAGCGCTGTAACCAAGGGGTTCATAACCCATTTCATAGAGAGGAATGTGACATGTTTTACATATTTAAATATTTTAAACTAAAGCAATTATTTCACTTTAAACTGCCAAACAATATAATGTCTATTTATAGCAAACCCAACCATACCCAAGTATTATTCATTGTGATATACAGATATAAAAAAAATATGTATTATCTTAAAGTAATTATCCTACCAAATAAACAAAGAACATAAAACTTTCCTACATTTACTAGTGCTTACCGGTGATATAGTCATTCCATTTAAATATCCTGACATTTAGACAACAATGGAGGTTGTGGGAGGTTATTGGGTGCACTGAGATGTTTGATTCAATGGCAGAAATATAGAACAGAGAAGTGGAAAAGTACATTTTACATACATACACAGAACTAAGTAAATATGCTCTCTGTGCACCTCATGCAAGAAGGATAAATGGGGTATGCATGCACATTATGTAAGCCTGGGAAATGCCTAGTTGAAACAACATCTTACTATGATAAAAGACGTCAGAATTAAAGGGACACTATAGTCACTAAAACAACAGTAGCAGTTAAATTTATTTTGTTTCTGTCCGTGCAGCC